AAGGATGCTGATGGATCCAGCAGCTGAAAAAGCTGTACTGCAAGGCTGAAGCCACCACTCCTTGTGCATAGGACTGGCATGGCAGGCACTATGAAGCTGCTGTGCATTCTGAAGGTGCACAGAAGAAAGCACAGCTTTTCTTACTGAGGTGCTGGAAGGACTCTCTCACCACCAACACCCTGTGTAAGAGTGAAGTCAGGGAGCTTAAAGATCAGCTCACTTTACGGTAGGTAAAGGAAGATCCCAGAGCAGCTGTTAAAAAAAAAAAAACAAACAAACAACGATAAAGTAACTTTTTTGGTTCTCATGTTAGGGAACAATTGCTTGCACTTGTGACAAATTGCCATTTTAGGTTTTATCTGTAAATCTAGCTGTGCTGCACCACTTTCTTATTGAACAGTATTTTAGAGGCTCTGCTATGGCTTGTACTGGAGGTTGCTCCGTACAGTCACTGTTCCTATTTTTGCTAAATTGAAATTGAGTCTTTTAAACATGGAAAGATCTGGGAAATGGAGGACACTGTGCTAATCCCCCCTGGTACCACTTGCTCTTTTCCCAGTTGTGGGTAGCTTCAAAGAGCTCTTGGCATACAACAGGCACCAGACCTCTGTTTGCACCATATGTGATCATTGGGGAGCTCCTCCCTGAGCCCATCTGACCATCTGAGAGCAGAGTAGCATTATAGTCTTGCCAGAGCTTCTCCAGCATGCCTTAACCAAGATCACAGAAGACCCCCCTCTATGAAATGATTGAGTGCACCCTTATCACAGATGAGCAAGTAGATCCACACACAAAGCGCTGCTGTCCAGTGGGAGTGCCCCCACTAAGAGTTTAAATTAGGGATCAAGATCTGAAAAGGCACGTGGAAGGAGCGCGGCGTGCCGGGATGACAGAGGTAGACAAAACCTAGATGATGCTCCAGAGCAGCATACTGCTAACATCCATCCCACTTACACAGCTGGTAATAACGGGAGAGAAACAAACGGACCAGTCTGCATATGAGCTAAAACTGCCTTGAGCTGGTTCTTTGAGTGAATCTTACCTGGCCTTTGCACCGCTGGATCCTGCTGAGCGTGCCATTCTTGGTCTCCCCGTGGCTTCCTAAAGGACAACAGGCTGGATCAAGAATAAAGGTTTTCCTGTGCCCTGGATTCCGAGGGTCACAGGCGGTTGTGCTGTTGCTGTTGACAGAAATCACATCCCCACTTCCTGCATCCTTCTTTCTCTGCATGTTAAAATTACAGTTGTAGTATCCAAATACAAGTCATCAGCTATTCACCAATCATTGTTGGTTTAGCCTCGATTTAAGCCAAGTTCAGCAGCAATAAGAGCACACCAAGGACTGCTGGGGGATAAGCCCACACTTGAGCCATGCCAGGTGATACACGGCCAAGGGGTAACTGACCTGAACAGACAGACACATCAGTAAAGCATAACTTGCACTTTTCCCCCTCCCTCACATACTGGTCATCCACACAGCACAGTGCTTTGGAAAATGCATTTTATTTTATGCACAACTTTAATTTAGAAGGAACCACAGTACATTTATCTCCAAGCCTATCAAAGAGACTCATTATCTTGACCAGCTGAATGAAAAAAAAACATTCCTGGGATGGAAACCTGCAAGTTTTGCACAGAAAAGTACAAAGTAAGAAACAAATGCTATTTATTAATTGAAATGATGCTATTTCATAGTATTTTCAGACTGGCCTAAGCTAATAGGTTACAAATATTGCCTAACTACTCCCTAGAAACTATGTATTGGCTTCTGCCTCTAGCTTGTTTTTTCCCTAACAGAAACCAACAACTTAGTTATTTATGATTAGTTAAATGGAAACTGATGAAATCACAGCAAATAAATGTTTTGTGCTGACAACCCTGAGAGCAGTCTTTCATGAGAGGCCATTCTGATGGGGGATTAAACTATTTAGTTATCTGCAGCCTTATTTGCACACTGGGCATGTACAAATATTATGGCAAATAAACTAAGTGAATGTGCATCTGTTAATGCTTTAAGCACCAAGTGGCTATCAAAAGTAAACTAGATTTGCTGTAGTTCTCCTTCACGTTAGAAACTGGAATGAATACTTTCATCAGCCTTGGCTTCTAAACATTTGAAGAAAAAAAGTCTTATGAATATTTGTGTTAGCCCTCTGAGGTAACTTGGGGAACCGTTTCCATTGAAACTTCCCTTTTCTTGACAAATTCCCTAATAAGAACAGCCCTTAATCTTGTTCCTATTCAGTCTTCCTCCACTAGCGTTTCCCACTATGTGTTTCCTGGAAATAAAATCTACTTTTGTTCTTTCTGAAAGGTGAGAGTCTGCTATCCCAAGGCAGTCAACCTTCCAGTGGCATTTTCTCTGGGGTTAGCCCCGAAGTACAGACACACAGTGTAGGTTCAGCTTTTCAGCTGACAATAGATGAAAAGCAGAAGCATCTAAGCACTCTTGTGAAATGGTAGCTTTTCATTAGGGGGAGAAAACCACACCCCTCTCAGGCAATTAACTCTCCTATGGAAAAGCTTCAGAATTGCTCTTTAGAGATGAACTGTACCAAGTAGCTCATGGGAAGTTCTGATTTCTCTCACCAGGCAAGTTCTGCTCCGTGCCCCAGTAGCCTTCTGCACGCATCCACCACAATGATGCATCATCTCTTTCTTCCACAGGCCCCTCACTCCCTTCTCTGGCACCATGAATATTATCTTCCTCTCAGATACTCGTGCTAACAGCTGCAATTCCACAGTGAGCCTCCTAGCCCACTCAGCCACTAGCCCCCAAGCCATTTTAATCTTTGAAAAGGCCACCTCCTTCCCAATGGATCCACTGTTCATCACTGCCCATGCAACTGGATCTTTCTCACCCTTGTTGAAATGATCTTTTCCACTCTATCCTTTGCATACTTGTTGCAAGCCTACAAAAAAAAAAAAAAAATTTCCAAGTAAAACCTATTTTCTCGATGTCATTAGAAACCCACCCTTGAGTTGCCACCTTGACACTGTTAGCTAGCTTCTTTTCCTTTCTCAGGCTCTGAATAAAAATTCCAAGTGTCTGTTTTTGCTTCTGTTTCCTTCTATGCCCTTCAACTTCCTGAAATCCCGTTCCTTGTTACACATTATGCTTACACTCCTTATGAACTGCTCCCTGGGAAAACTCATCAGCACCCAAGAACTATGTGCTGAACCTAAGTAACTAAAAAATAAATAAATAAAAATGGGGGATTACATTTTAACATATAATGGGATTAGAACTCCTTTAAAGTAAAAAAATACTAGACTATTACAAACCTTTAGAAAGTTATTAAATTTCACACACCAATTTTCTTGTTACTACTATTGTTTTCTTCTTTCCTCCAAAGCACTGCCAGATGAGGGAAATTCAGCTGAGCTGGTTATAAAGTAAAGGAGCTAAAACTACTAGAAATTAGTCACAAAATTAGCTTATTTTTGTTTTACTTGATTTTTGTACTGAAAACCACACTGCAAGTGTAAACAACAGAAACATGTTAAAACCTTATTAAAGCAATCTTCACTAGCATTTCATCAGTCAATTCTATTTGATCAGGAGTTGGAGCATTTTATAAATACTCTTGTACCCTATACAAGATACACATTCAGATTTGACAACCATTTTTTATTCCAGTCTTGAAAGCTTGATCATTTGATCCCATTATCTGAGCCATTCGCTGCCTTTCTGTACAATGGGAATGAAAAAAAAATATCGCTACAATTTCTCCCCCCTCCTCCCCCCTTGACAATATTTATATTGTAGTACAAAATATTTAGAGTAATTACTGACCTGACTGAAAGGTCTCACTCAAACTGCCACTTTCACACTGTCAACATTTTGCCTTTTTTTTTTTCTTTTTTAAGCTTTCATTCAGTCATGAATACTCCCAAGCAGAAATATATCCAAGAGCATGCAACTGCTTCTCTTGAATGATCTGTTTTGAGATAGAAAAATCATGGCCCCAAAAGAAACTCCTTTTACAAGCTTAGTATGTTATTAGTACATTCATCCCCCCCATGTACAAGGTAGTAATTAAGGAATAAATTATTTCTTAGAGTAACTGTAATAGTTTGTACTAATTGAAAAATTTAATGTCATGTTCCACCATTCTGTAGTCTTCAAAGTTGCATCCACATATAAATTAACATACATAAAAATAATCCATTGTCTAAAAGACTGCACATCAAAATAGTACTTCTATGTCTGCTTTTAAAAGAATAGTTTTTTTGAATTAATTTTTACAAATTGAAGCTTTATAGGGACATTTATTCCATAACCCAAAATTATTAATGAAATAATTATTCAAAAATATTGTTTCTAACTAAGATTTCTGTACATTTTTTTACCTTGTCCAGACTTTTATGTTAGCTTTACCATCAGGTTTTCAGTGCTGTGATACGCAGGCTTCAAATACTGCAAAATATGTTTACAGACAAAAATTATTTCAGTTACAGTAGCATTCCTATTAACCTTATGAAAATAATTTTGGCTCCAATTTCGAAGTATCTGGGTAATGTCCCTTTAATTTTGATATGCTATTGTAAGCGTCACACCCTCTATAAAGTTGATTTTTTTTCTCACAACAAATTGTAAAAAAATAGTGAAACACAGGAGGTGTGATCTATTTTTATGAAGTAAAGAGCAGCTTTCCCAAAGTTTAAGACAAATACAAAAAAATATTGCACAGCTTAAAATACAGTTGTTTACATTCTGATATCCATATAGTACAACTTAACAGAGAATGTAAGGAATTACCAGTTTGTATCGTGAGCCAAATTATTTGCACCAGAAGGTCAAACAACTTATAAAATTGAAACTAGGAAGTTTTAAACATGTACTTGTTATAGGAATTCCAAGCAAACTTTTAAAAAGCTTCAAAGCTTTTGGCCTCACTTTTGAGGGTCAGCAACTCCTGCAAACCAACATTAAAATTTCTGAGCCATACAGGCCATTCAACCCACTATTCCCTCAAAAAGCTATCAGACAGTAAGCATATTGTGAAGTATACATTTTTATTTAACATTCCTAAAATAAGCTGTATTTACATATTATATAAACGTATGAAGTCTTAATATAAAATAGAAAACTGCATTGACTGAGGAAATCACACTCCATATGGAGTTACTTACTGAAGACCATTTGTTTATGAAATTTTACAATAATTTATATAAATTATCTCTTCCAAATTAGATGATTTTTTTCCTTTTACTAACCCACAGTTTTGATGACTTTACAAACAGTGGTGTACATTATAAACTTAAAAAACAGTTACAGCATCTTCCGGCGCACAACTGGCTTTGGAAAATTAGAGAGTCTTTTTTTGTTCTTTTTCAGAGGCTTCTCTGCTCCGTCTGCGCTTTCTTTCTGTTTGCTTTTCGTTCCATCCAACGGAGTTCCAAAAGGAGAGATCAGTTTTATTTCCACAGGTGGAGGTGACCAAGAACGTTCTTTTTTTGTGGTTCTGAAAAGAATGAGAAGCATCAAATGGATTTTGTATTACCTACATTAAGTAGTAGAGGAAAACAACCCTGTAGAATTACAAAACCAATGCCAAATAATTACGTAGGAGCTTCTTTGTAGATAGAACCAAGGGAGGAAAGATACATAAATAAGCTTCTGTTTGCTTTCATTCTTTACCAGCTTGTCCCAAGCATTCTTAGTCACTAGTCCTATGAGCTTTTAGAGCACCCCCTGCCCAGCTTTTAAGAGGCAAGCGTCCTCATAGTTTTTCAAAAGGAAACAGAAAACATGTCCAGAAACACAAAGTTCTCTTCACTCATTGTCTGACCCCTTCCTGCTTTGTACAGGGAACTATAGACCATACAAGTGTGGTTTTATAAGGTGCAATAAGACAACATAAGAGCATGTCATCACTGCAAAGAATAGTATCCACTTGCCCTTTTCTATCCCCTCCCTCTTCTGTTTCCATTGGAAAACAAAAGGTAAAAAAGGTGCCCATCAGGCCAGCAAACTGGACAGGCTTGCAAAGTCAGAGCAGACTGCCCAGCCATGTCAGGAAGAGAAAGTTAGGTACCTAACAGGTGAATGACTACCACAGTATAAAGGAATGCAAATCAGTGTTCAAAAAGCATTTCATACTTGCTTGCTTTCTTCATTTTTGATTTTACAGTTCTACTTCTCTTAATTTCTTCCTTTCTTTCTACAGTCTCTATGGATTTGGTATCCTCTTCCTCTTTTGTTGGAAGCTCCTATGTTAAGGCAACAAAAACATTACTCACGCACAAGTTCTGACACTTCTACGGAATACAAATGAATGTTTTTTTTCATGAAGAACTCGTGCCAAAGTTATTTCCAAAAGCATTACACCTTCTCTCTGCAAAAACAAACCTTCCATCTCAAATTATTGCACCAGCCTAAAAGTTCAAATTCTGAAGTCAACAGATAACACACAAATTAAGTTTAAAGAGAGCCACTGTGCCTTTTGTAAAAGGCAAAGCAATATTTATTAATTTTTGACTTACAGATTAAAAATTGGGTTTTGTAGCTAGTTTTCATGAAGGAAAAGAAAAATAAATTGTTTAGATGATTAATTTAAAGCTCTCTTTTTAGATATACTTCCATGGAAAAAGGCAACACATTACTAAGTGTGATTTGAAAAAGTGGTAGGGAGCAAAAGTCGAGAGCGTGAGACAACTAGAGTTTTTACTTACTGGTTCTTTCACGATTTGGGATGTGCTAGACACATTTTTTCTCCTTGACCTCAAAAGAGGGGGTGAAAAGACAAACTGAGAAGATAAGTCTGGGTCTAAATCCTTAATCTGCACAGCATCATCTGCTTTTCCAGCTAAAATGACAACACACTGTTAACATACATGCACATTATATGTAAAGGACAACGATATTAGAGTTGATGATCAAGAGCACAATATAGCTTCCTGATATAAAAGGTCTAATAATCAGGTTTATAATCGCTCAGTGTGGAGGTAATTTTCCCCTGCCAACTGCCTCTTGGGATCCATTCTTTTCCAGTAAATTAGGAAACAAAGATTAGCTGGCATAGTGATTTTACCTGCTCTTACAAGACTAAAGATGCAATGCTCAGGAGGCATCCACAGTCTGTACACATCTCAAAACCAGTTTATCATGTACTCTAGCAAGAACCCTGTGCACAGTAACTCCACTAACAAAATATATGCCCACAAAAAAACAACTGCATAATTAAACAGCTGCATAGTTTGTTGCAAGACGTGGCTCATTTTAGCTTAAAAACTGAGAAGAATTTGGAAGCATGTCTCCTTTATTGCTTCACTGGGGGAAGGGATGGAAATCTCATATTAACAGACACCCCCCAGTTTTTCAAATGGATGCAAACTTAAGATCATAACAAAAATTCAGCTTAGATTTAATTTCCCTCTACCCAGATCAGCCTCCTCATCTGTTCCGACCACAGCTAGCCAGTCACATGCAGCATTCAGAAAAGAACATGAGTAGTCTCTTTCCATTTATTTGGCACAGTTATATTCTTTACAATAACCAAATCCATCCTCACAGTTTGCATTCTGTGGTTTACAGAGCAGCAACAGGCTTCATTTTATCTATAAATGTAGTGCACCTACCTTTGAATTTCTTGGTCAGCTTAGTGAGAGGAGGAGAGAAAAGGAAGGACTCGTTTTCCCCGACAGACAGTTTCTGATGCACGGCAGTTTTACCAGATCGGGTTCTTGTAATACGATCTGTTAAAGTTCTTGATGTTTCATCTTGTCCTGGTGGGTTTATGTCTTCAAGCAGCAGGGGACTGCCACCAGGCCCTTGAGGGGAGGCCATCTCCTCCAGTATCGATCGTTTCTTCCTGCCCCTACGCCCTGTCCTTACTGTAGTCCTGGGTGTGGTCGATTCCTCAGTTGGTGGTGCAAGTGTTTGCTCATTAGTATCGTTGTTTTCTGGTTTAGCATGTGGGACTCTTCTTGTTCTCCTAGGAGTACCCAGGGTTTCCACTTTCCCACCTGAACGCATGACTTCCTGAGTGGAGAGAGATTCTGTGTCTGCCAAGAGATTTTGTGCCCCCTTCCTAGCACTTCTCCTAGGAGTGACAGGAAGTTTAAATTCTGTTTGAGGAAGGGATGATTTAGACAGATCAAGGTCAGAGTTTTCCAAAACTTCTGAGGCACTCGTCTTTCTTCTTCTGCCTCTTTTAGCTGGCACAGGTAAAAGGAGTTGGTCACTAGGCTGCACATCTTGATCCTTTAGAAGATTTTCAGTAAACTGCAAATTGGTGCTTTTCAGTTTTCTTGCACTTCTGCCAGGACTGACTACCTTTTTTATCTTATGATCAGTGTCAGTCTGGCTAGTTTCTTCATCTCCTGATGAACCTTTTCCTCCTCTAGTCCTTTTGGAAGTACCAGGAGCAACAATGCTACCTTCAGCAAGAGCAGTTTCCTCATTAGCCTCTTCCAAGCGTTCAGATGCAGCTTCCTTTGCTCTCCTTAACCCTCTTCTTGGAGTAACAGCTGTGGGCTCCCTACTGTCAGACAACGTTTGTCTGTCAGGATGGTTACTTTCTTCTTTTTCTAAATTAGTCACCTTAGGCCTTCTACCTCTCCTAGGAGTAACAATCACCAGAGGTATTTGCTCATCTTGAGCATTTTCTTCTGTTTGAAGACTAGAAGTCTCAGATGCTTCTTTTGTTCGCCTGGTACTTCTCCTGGGAGACTGCCCAAACAGAACTGGTTTGTCTGCCTTCAGCAGCTGCTGAGCACTTGGATTTCTACTCAGTTGTCCCCTTGTCCGTGTTCTAGGAGTGGTGACATACTCTGCCTGATGGCTGCTGGTTTCATCTTCCACTCCTTCTGGCACAGTCGTTAAGGGAGCTTTTGTCTTCTGGAATCTAGTTACTTTTTTACCTATGGTTTCATGAATAGATTGTTCTACAACTTCAGATGTAAATTCCTTACTTCTTGTGTCTATGATTACATCCAGTAAGTTCTCAGCAATAGCTACCTTAATGGGTTCAGGCACATACGGGAGCGACTCTGCAGTATTCTGAGATTCCTGATCACTAGTTACAGTAGACACTGAGTTTGTAACATGTTCTTGGTTTTCAGTATTTCCTAAAGTGTTGGCAGGTTTTTCCTCTGTTGTTGTGCCAGCTGGTTTAGAAGTATCTACTAACACAGGGTCTTCCATCTCTGCTTCACCTTCTTCTCCTTCCAAGACTAAAGTAAAATTACTATGAGATATAGAAACCTCTCCATCTCCCTCATCTGCATCACCTTCAGCATCTTCATTATCAGGCAAATCACATGTGAACTGTTGCTCTATAGCATCATAGCTGTGTTGAAAATTGCCTACAGGGTGTAGTTCACTATATGGTGGTGTTTCAGATGCTTCCTCTGAGGTTTGTGACGTAATGGCACGATCTTCTATAACCTAAAGGTAAAAAACGTCACATGTGGACAACCTTTTAAAATTTGTATTTTGCAAAGTTGAGATATCACAAAACCATGCTTTTACAAAAAAAAAACCCCACCAAAAAAAAACCAAAAAGAAGAGTGTAAGTATCTGGAAATAGCTTGATGCTGAAATGAACTCATTACTGGGAGTTACATTTATGGCAATAAGGAACAAACAGTAAAGGATCCAAGCACCTAAATCATTCTTAAAATGAGTTTTCCTCCTGCATCCTTTTGTCATTTAGTAAGTGGCCCCCAGTATCGAAAACTGCACTCTCCAACTCCTTACTGTCTTCAACATTAAAACTATTTATTTGTTAAGTCAAAGAGGAAAAGTAAGTCCACCACATTGATGCATCCCTTCTGTCAGTAAGACAGCACTGTCCTCAATTTGCAAAGCATTCTCTATTTTGTAGAAAACAGAAGAATACTTTACTTACATTACTGTCCTCGTGTTTAGGAAGATTGTTAGAAGCAGTTATTTCTTCCTTCAGGAAAGGAACCTCTCCTTCAACTTCAGCTGCCTCTAGGTTACATTCTTTAGGTAAATCCACGCATGTCATCTCGAGGAGCTTTTCTGAATGAGCACTGAGCACATCCTCACTGCCATGGAGACTTAATGCAGCTGGAAGAGAGTTGGGTCATTGTAACTGAGCTGCCACATAAATGACACAGGTTTAAGCAACAGGAAGTAACAGACGGAGCCAGAGCCAACACGACAGTTCTCCATCCTGCCACATATATTAGGCTTTCTCCAAAAACTGGAAGACAAAACCATCTATCTGGTAAAGGAGGCAGCCTCACATTTTTAAAAAAAAAAACAAAAAAAAACAAAAAAAAAAAAAAGGAAGGAGAAGGGGAAAATCAGCTGCTGTTAAGTCCACACAGAAAAAGAACCAAGAGGTGAAGGGAGCTGGAAAGGCACACTGATAGTTGGCTATTCTTCCCAGCTTGAATACCAAGGATGCACCTTTTAAAACAGTAACTGAAGCAGCAAATCCCATAGCACAAAATTAGCAGTGGTGTACAGCAGCAAAATAAATATTGATCTCTCCTTCTAATATTTGACATTCCATCAGCTTTCTCAGTATCTTTATCAAGAACAGGAGTAGACACTATGCATTTCCTACAAGGACTTCATTTAAGGAGGGGATGACCTGGAAGAAGGGACAGAGTATACCCTCAGGAAATTTGCTGATTATAGAATCACAGAATTGTTTAGATTGGAAAAGACCTTTAAGACCATCAAGTCCAACCATTCACCTAACTCAACCATGACTAAACTAACTCTGAGGATACAGAACTGAAAGGAGTAGCTGACACACGGGACGGCTGTGCTGCCATTCAGCGAGACCCGGACAGGCTGGAGAGTTGGGCAGAGGGGAACCTAATGAAATTCAACAGGGACAAGTGTAGAGTCCTGCATCTGGGGAGGAATAACCCCATGCACCAGTACAGGCTAGGGGTCGACCTACTAGAAAGCAGCTCCACGGAGAAGGAACTTGGAGTCCTGGTGGACAAGTTCACCACAAGCCAGCAGTGTGCTTTTGTAGCCAAGAAGGCCAATGATATCCTGGGGGGTATTAAGAAGAGTGTGACCAGCAGATCAAGGGAGATTCTCCTCCCCCTCTACTCTGCCCTAGTGAGGCCACACCTGGACTATTGTGTCCAGTTTGGGGCTCCCCAGTTCAAGAGAGATGGGGAGAGATAGAACACTGGAACAGGCTGCCCAGAGTTCGTGGAGTCTCCTCAAGATGAGATCCTCCACAACCCGATCTAGGCAAACCTGCTTTGGCAGGGGGTTTGGACTAGATGGTCTCCAGAGGTCCCTTCCAACCCTTTCCATTCTGTGATTCTTTGGAAGGCTCTCTACAGTTTAATGAAGTTAGCAGTAACATGCTACTACTACTTCAGCCTGAGACACCTCTAGTGGTATGGCAAACTACACCCTCTACACTTCAGGAGTTCAGCTACCTGACCCATCTAACACATCCAGCACACTGTACATACGTTCACTGTCCATGTCTGGGGATTCAGAAAGCTGTGGGTTTGTGTCAACTCCTATGGCTTTTTCTTCTGATGAAGAGGACATGTGGGACTCCTGGCAGTTTGTTTCTCTACATGAACAGAAACAGAAATGCATCAAAGCCTGAAAACAAACCTTGAAGACATTTACAAATTCCTTTCTCAGTGTAAAATCTTGATGTTTCAAAACAGAAGAACTTAAGAAAAATTAGAAATTCCTTTACCAACATAGCTACACTCAATGTGTGAATCTTATGCAAGGAATCAAGTACTGAATGTTATTCCCAGCTCTCTAACACTAGGTAATAATCTAACAGAGTTGTGCTATTCAATAATATATTATTTGTCTTCTGTAGAAGTGCAAATGATGTATTGGAGGTTTAGAACAAACTGAACAGAAGTCTGTGCCATTTTAAGTTACCACTTGAAATTAAGTCTTATTTCATTGCTAACATTCTGTCTTTATCACAGTAAGCGACTGCAGCTTATAAAGTACCTGGGTGAGAAAACAAATAGATGCTAATGGAGCACAAAGAAAATGGAAACTAAGTGTATAAGAAAGGTGCCAGAAAGCATTCAAATTCCCCAATAAACCCGCTAAAGTTACAGGGATCACAGGTGTAATTTTTAGCTGCACAATTTTCAGAGAAAAGCAGGGCTTATGTTCACAGCATCTGCTTAGTAACCCTCCAGGCTGTAAAAACTTTTATATAGCATGTTCTGAAGTCAGTCTACAAAACCATACTCTGGGGTATGCAATGATTTGAGAAAAAAAGGCTCAAACTGACAGCTAGTCAATTTGACAGCTCGTCAGTCTGACACATTAATGCCAAGTTAGTTCTGTTCACAGGCAGAAAGGAATAGAAAAGTTGTTACGTTTAAGAACATAGGAAAGAACCAATACCAGGTCAAAATCATAGTTTTCAAACACAGGAAAGCTGGCAGTTAACATCTTGTGTGAAACCAAAGACGTATCTATTTTATAAACTTACCCTTCATTTGCAGTCTCAAAAGTATCAGCCTCAGCAGCTTTAAACACCAATTTCCCACCCCCTGGAAGGGTAAGACATTCAGCATTTGATTCTTCCACAAATTCTACAAAAAAATAAGATAGATAGATAGATAAGTGCAACAGGGAAGTCATCTAACAATTTCTTTTAAAACATTCATATGATTTTCAGGTGAGCCTTTACACATTTCATCTAGGACAGAGAGCTAACAAAATAATGCTACCAAGACTTAAGATGCACAGGTCTGAATTCTTCTTTGAAGTAAAACAAGGAATCTGATTCATAAATTCCATCAAGAAAATAAAATGACCATTGATATTCTGTTTACAAACTAAACTTTGTATTTACTGACCTAATACATAAAAGTTTCAGAGAACATCTCTCCTTCTTAAAATTGGGTAGTAAATTTTCTTATTTCTCTGTGGATATTTATCTCATTTCCAGCAATGCCACTTTCCTTTCTTGTCTCTATTTCCCCTCTGGTACAAGAATGCATCTAAAGTCTTTTCTCCTTTTCTCTAGTGATTGACTGGTGGTGTTGAAACCAAACAGCTTGCTAACCTGTTTCAGGTTCAATTTTAGAAATAGTCTCCTTTTCTTCTTCTGTCTGCTGCCTCCATATCCAGCAATTACCTTTGCAGGCAGGATTCAGGACTGGGATGATTATTCTAGCTCAGGCCAAACAACAGCTATACTGACTGCCCTCTAATACTTCCAGAGTACTGAAATGGTACAGAACTATTTGTAACATAGCCAGCAATAGTAACATTTCTTCACAACGTTATTCTTTAATGATTAGTACCTTACTGTTATTTTTAATGAGAAACACCTTGGCTTTCTTGTCCAAATACAAGACAGCTAAAATAGGACAGGTAAATGTTTTGGTCTATCTTACTAAAAACACTATCTGGAGAACCCTCTACCCATGTACATAGAGTCTGTATCTGAGCACTCCTGTTATTTAAAAAGAAAACGCACTGAGGAACTACAATAGGAACAATCACTCTTCAGGACCTTCCAGAATCATCTCAGTCTCAGGACTGGATCAGGCTGCATATGATGCACTGATACTGGAGTACACACTCTGCTGAAACAGTTTCAAGAGCTCAGGCACAGAACCCAGATGCTGGTGTACCTGTCCCAGGGACAGCAAACTTATGTGAAGAGCTGAACTGACCAAGCGCTTTGTCAAGTACAGGGTGCAGCTGTGTCTGCACAGCTTCTCCTTGCTCCTGCACCACCTTCATTCCCAGCTCTTCACTGGCTAGTGAGCTACATCTCTTCTAACCTGTCAGCAGATCTGCTCCTATGAACGCATCCTTAGCAGCTGGACCAGCCTGCATGAGCTCAACTGAGCTGAATTACAAAAGACCAGGTGAAATAGGGTTTTTGCTGGGCCAGCAAAATGAGCAGGCATAGCTGTAATGAGAAGCAGATACACAAGCAGACTCACTTCCTGAAAAAAACTATTTAACTGAGCCCTAATGTGGTGCATAAAAGAAGAAAATCTGTCTAGTCAAAGCACACCATGCATTAAACTTGCTGTAAAAACCCTGTAGCCTACAGAAGTACCCCTAAATCATTACTAGAAGCCTAAGCTTTCAACTCGTATACTTCACAAAACTCCCACAAATCACTGCTGCCTCCCAGCTGCAATTACACACAAGAAATGCCAGCTAAAAGCAAGACACAATCATAATGGCAAGGATACCTAAAAAAAGGACTCAAAACACTGAGGCACTTTAAAAAGCCTAGGACAAAGAAGTGCCTAGTACATTGGGTGACCAGTCAGCATTAACTGTTGCACTCAAGGCCAATTTAACCTTTTGAAGACATTTGAAAATTCAGAAACTTATCAAAGGATGAAACACACCGGCTTGTTCTCTTAGTTCTGATGCATCTGGTTGTTCCATCTGGAAAGGTGTATCTTCAACAATTTCTCCATCTTCTTCCTTCTCCGATTCTTGAAAATTGGCAGGTTCTTCAGTGGAAGAATTAGCTGGTTTAGCAGCTATAAAGATGACATCATCTTCAAAATCACCAGGTGATTTTGCATCATAATACTCCAGAGCAGTTTGGTCTGACCTAGCAGAGAAGTTACTATTTTCTTTGCTGACGTCCATTTTCTCCAAATCATCTCCAGGCATGCTTTCTGAAGACTCTTCAATTTCGGCATGACTGTCCTCAGGGTTGCTCAGAGTACACGGAGTTGTTTTATCTCTACTTTCAGACCAAGCATTCTCCATCGCTCCATGATGATACTCAGATGAAGCTCCAGATAGTGCTTTATCATGTCCTGTTACCTTTTTTTTTTAAACAAGAAAGAGAAAAGACATTCATGATCAATAACATGCACATTTTTTGTCAAACTAAGGAGAAAAAAAAAATATATACCAATATCTGCAAGTCTTACAAGAGCCACCTTAAGCAAGGTGCTACAAAATCAATTCTCATTCTAGCACTATCTTAGCTTTTAAGGTAGAGCGTAAAAAAGAAAATGTATTTTTTTTTTTTTTTAAGAAAAATCACACTTTTGAATTCTTATTGAAATTCCACAGTCTGAGAGAATTAAACAAATCTGGTCTTTTCTAAGCCCTTGCTTATACTGTCATCTCAAAGCTGCCATTGGTTTCACTATTGTTTTCAAGAAAAGGGAGCTGTGCATATCTACAATCATAAGTCAGAATTTCTTTTTTTCATGCCTGCCTTTTCAACTTGTATGCACTGCTGGACTATATTGGTATTCACTGTGCCTGTAGCATGGAGCAAGTAAATGAATCTGGCCACACTACATTATTAGTGAGATCTTCATTTAGGATATAGAGCCCTCTTGTTACAACTGAGGAGCTCTTCAGAACAGGCAAAAAAGGTATAATAGAATATGACCACTTGTTAGTACATGTAGG